ACATTTCTAACAGGTGGAAACTCTTAAAAAAGGTAGCCTACTTTCTAGCCTAGGTCATAAGCTATCTGTGTGCAAATTTTCATGCAAATCCATTCAGTCGCCCGCATATTAAATAAATGAAACTTTTTTAACAGGTGGCAACTCTTAAGAAATTAGCCTATTAACCAATCTGGCCCATAAGCTATCTGCGTACAAAATTTCATGCAAATCCGTGTAGTCGTTTCCGCGTGATGATTTCCCAAACATCCAAACATACAAACTTTCACATTTATAATATTTATAAGATAAGATAAGATGAAAGGCAAATTTTCTAAGTCCAGAAAAGGCCCCGAAAATCCGATAAGGCCAAAATAATACGAAATCTTTTAATAAAGATCGAACCCTTTTGATTCGTATGGAGTTTTGCTTTGCTTTAAACGCGCAAAATGTTGTATTCAAAGTTCCTGTAAAATTTGTAAAAATGGACTTAGCAACTTTTCAGCCAGCGATATGTTAAATATAAATATGGAACTATATAATCATTTTTATTAAACTTTGAATAACTTATATTATATATATTTTTTTAATTACGTAAGAAAATTTTTGTACATAAAAGTGTGCAGCAGTTTGTTTGAATTGATTCAGAACGGGAACATACCTTTTTGTCAAAAGCCTACGAAACGCTTTCAAATAAAACATTTGCCTGTTTGAAACTCTGAGGCGCTTAAAGCAAGTCAAGCAAAGCTGCCATTTGGCCAGCCTTCATACATTTTAGTATATTCCAAATAACTTTTGACAGTTCTCAAAGCGAGGCAAGCAAAGCAAGCCTGCATTGGGCCAATACCTTATGTAATGTTGCGTAACAAGCCAATTAATTTAATTAGTTGTTTTCTTTTGTTTTGTTAACTCCGTTAAATTAACTGATTTTATGAATTAATACATTTATTTGTAATTTTTTATGGAATCGGCATCATTACCCGAAAAAAATTGGAATCGGTCAGACTCTATGTAGGACCATACATGGCATTTAAATTATCTGCCAATTTCAACCAAAATGTTTGCAATTTATTTGGAGCTCTTAGGCAGTTTTTACCACTTTGCAATTCGGGGCATGTACATGTGCATGGTATTACAACGCTATTTCGTTGTATATTCATGTTTTCCATGCCTCTGAATACACGTAACATTACGTTCATAAAAATAGGCATTATGTCTGTTTCCACATGGCATTTTTTAAATGGCAAACATTTTTTGTCATTATAATGCCTGGTGGAAATTCGGCATAATAAATTTTTTTAGTAATAATTACACGGTGTAATACTGATCATGTACTTTTTAAGTAATCTAGTACAGGTCGTAGAGCTGGTCGAGAAATTCACAAAACTGCGTTTAAAATTTTTCTAACACCCTCAAATTCTCAACTTATTCTTAAAGACAATTTTTTTGCATGACTTCCTGCACTACACAATGTTCAGCTCAGTTATTTTTAACCCAATTTTAAGTTTTTATATGGCTTATGAAAGAAGAATATTTGTAATATTAAAAGATATAATAACTTTTGTGAACACATTGTAAATGTGTAGAAACTTTTTAGAATAAACCTGAAATTAACAGAAATGTTTATTATTTTTTCCACTTCTGCAACATTTTATGCCAAAATTTTAAAAGAAAATAGTCTCTTTTAGCTATTACTTCGAAAAGAATGTTTAATTCCAAACAAAACTAGGTACCATTTATAAAAATCAGTAGACAATTTTGGAAGATAAGAATTTTTTCCAAAATTACATCCATGTCATTTCACAGAAAACTGGAATTAGTTGAAATGAGGTTTGAGGTTTCAGTAGTTCGTATGGAAAAATTTGAATTGGTCTCTATAAAAGATGTCATAACTTCATAATTTTTTTATTGATTTTAATGAGTGGTACTTAGTTTTACTCAGCATTAAACATTCATCCTCAATTAATGACTAAAAGAGATTATTTTCTTTTGAAATTTTGGCAGAAAGTGTTGTAGAAGCGGAAAAAAATAAAAATAGGTCTAAACTTCAGATTTCTTCCAAAATTTTTCCACCTATTTACAATGTGCCCACAAAACTTTTTAATTCATAAATAGTACAAATATTCTCTTTCTATAGCCATATAAAGCTTAAAATGGGTTAAAAAATAACCGAGCTAAAAATTGTTTGGCGCCGAAAATCATGCGAGAATGGTTTTTTAAGAATAAGCTGAGAATTTGAGGATGTTAGAAAAATTTTGAAAACAGTTTCGTGAATTACTCGTCCAGCTCTACGACCTGTGCTAGGTCACTTAAAAAGTTCGTGTATTTTTTTTTTATTTTGTAATACCGTGTTATTGGTTTTGAAATATAATTTATTTTTTTGTATAGGAGCGCCTTGTCTTAGAATAACATGCATATATAATATATATAATATAATATCGTCGTTTAAAGTACAAAACCGCGTATCAACAAAATGCAAAACCGCGTATGTGAGGTTGCATAAATTATTTTTTAGAGAGTAAAAACACTCACATTTCAAAATGCTTCTCTTTTTTATAAAAAAATCGCATTTCTCGCTAGTATATTTCAGGACGAATGGATAACGATTGAGCCAAGAGTTTGTGCGAGCAAATCCAATTTTTGGCAGCCAATGTCAGTTACGCGGTTTTGCAGAATGACGATACGTGGTTTTGTACTTTAAACGACGACGGTTTCTGCAAAACCGCGTAACTGACATTGGCTGCCAAAAATTGGATTTGCTCACACAAGCTCTTGACTCAATCCTCATCCATTCGTCCTGAAATATACTAGCCAGAAATGCGATTGCTTTGTAAAAAGGAGAACCATTTTTGAAATATGAGTATTTTAACGCTTTAGAAAATAATTTCCACAACTTCACATACGCGGTTTTGCATTTTGCTGATACGCGGTTTTGCATTTTGTTGATACGCGGTTTTGCACTTTAAACGACGATATATCTATTAGTCAAGTACTCACATTTTGAATATTTCGTCATATAAAGGAAAACGAGTTTTATTGTGGACTGATGTTTTATATGGTGGTACATTAACGAATCTGCTCGTAGGAAAAAAGTGAATTTTAACGAACGAATCACACGACCCATTTGGGTCCATGGGAACCAAATTTCTGCCATTTAAAATATGAAGCTGAAAGAGAAATTTGAATAATGTCATTAAATTAGATAATATCCATAATTTAGAGTAAAATACGGTGGGCTATATTATCACCACTTGAAGGTACTATAATGGCATTGAACATTATGTCTATTTGAAATGGTCAGAATGTCAATTGACTTAATGATTGTTATGAATTTGACTATAATATATATATCGTCGCTACCATGCCAAACTATCGATTGTGAAACTAGGTACTTTTCAGGAGAGTAAAACTACTGTAAAAAAATGTTGTAGTCATTAGGAAAAATTGACTAGAAATTCGAAATTTTCTAACTTCCGCATCATTCCAAACGCTTCCGCAATGCATCGAAAATGAAAAAACCATTTTTCATATTCGATAGTTTGACATGGTAGTGACGATATGGCCATTTACGGCAATTTGGATTGGTTTTATGGCCATTTCAAAAAATTAAATAAAATGCCACTAGTTCCCTACTGAAAATTCTTTCTAATATCAAAATAAAAATAATTTTTCCTAGACTCATAGATTCCTCTTAATAAGTTTTAATTTCAAAATCTTGGCAATGTTATTCAACAATATTATTGGGCTTGAGGGCGTTTTTAACCGACTTCACAAAAAAGAGAAAGGTTATCAATTCGTCGGAATATTTTTTGTATTTATTTTTATTAACTTTTTTTTATTTCATGTATGTTATCGCATAACTTTGAGCCACGTTAACCGATTTCTATAATACTTTTTTTTAAAGAAACGGCGTTACCTCAGAGGCGATCCCATATTAATGTCGTTTAATTTTTATATGAGAATTGAAGTTTTGTTTTGTGCTTAAAAATTACTTGGTTAGTGAAAATTTTTAAGGAAAGGCAAAATAAGTGCAACAAAAAAAGGTCATGAAACACACCCGAAACATAACCTAGTGTAGGTTGTAGGTATGATCGAGTACAACAAGAAAATAGGTCCGGTATAGTTCTTGAACCCTCACTTTTTTATACCAAAAAAA